AGTTATACTCTCTTCTACGTCTCCGCTCTCGTCGTGTCTTCATCTGTATACTTTCTCTCTCTCTCTCTCTCTCTCTCTCTCTCTCTCCATGATCTCCCGTCCCCTCTCCCTGCCCTCCTATATGCACACGCGTGTGCACGTATGCATACCGGGACAGTTACACGGGCGAACTATAACGCGCCGACGACTACTACTGGGAGAAGTGCTCTTCCGACTACGATTAACAACGCGCCGCTGGCTAGACACGTGTCCCGTACGAAACTCGCGTGTGTCTGCGGTCGAATACGACGAAGCACGATCGGGCCGAGAGCAGTGTTTAATGTTAGCAGACCGCGAAAGGGAGAAAGAAGGAGAGACGTGGTGCGCGTAGGGTTGAGCCAGAAGCGTCAAGGGGAAACGGAGAGAGCACCGCTGCCCGTCGGTCACTGTGCGGCATACGAAACTCCTCGCGTAGCGCGACAGACAGAGAGGGAAAAGTCGCGTGTCTGTGGCTGCACGAGACAAAAATAAGCGAGAGCGTGCAAGGGAAAAAGACAAAGAGGGAAAGAGTGGGATATTTACGACAAATTCTTCTCGAGCTCGCACGAGGCAACACGGATGCAAAAAAAAAATAACAAAAATATGAATTAGATAAAACGATAAGTGAGAACGTGACAAACCAGTCGGTGTATCACGGCCGAGATAGTGTAGGTGCGTGAATGGAGAAATAGGAAAAATCAGAAACCAATTCAAAGCCAAGACAAGGCACGAGGCTAGTAATTAAGTAGTCCTACGAGAGCAAGCTTTGTGCCGGGGAGTTAATCATAAAATTGGATCTTGAAATGATTAAATCTCTTTATTGTGAAACGAGAGAGAGATATATATATATATACGTGAGAGGGAGAATTTAATTAATATACCGGACCAAAACATTCGCTACGAATATTGATAGGAATTACATAGAAATTAACAGTGTGTTGATTATATGAGTTATTTTATAAATTTCATTTAACCGTATAATGAATCATATACTGTGTTAGAATAGTTTGAAAAAAAAAGGAAACCGCACAGCGAGGAAAACTGAGAGGGCGAAAAATAGAGAGCACTCTGAAATTGAACACCTCATACATATAAAAATGATCGTTGCAATATAAATTGTTGCAATTAGACGAAAGGTATCGTCAAATGCTGTGAGATTACACGTGTGTGATTTAAAAAGAAAAATGAAACGGAGTTTTGCTAGAGATGTGGCTTACTACATAGGTACGCATCATCAATTGAATATTTGTAGAAAATTTTTAAAAAGTCCTTCATTATCTTCAGTGATATCCACTAAATTATTTCGTATACGACAGTGAGAAATTATTTCTTTTTAAATTTGGATTTTGACATAGTGATATAATAAATAAATCGAGAGCAGCTAATAAGTATCATTATTTGTATTCGTGTTAGCATTTATTAATTATTTACGTCATTTATAGTAATAATAGGTACAAGGTTTGATCATCATCCATAATTAATCCATATTTCGTAATTATCCAAAATATATAAAATTAAATTAATTTATCGCTGCCATAATTGCAAGCTACATTTTACAATAATTAAACGTTTTAGTCATTGTTATTAACGTTAAATTATCGGTACTGCGATATTTTTACTCAATTTTTTACTCAGCTTGTTTCGAATTAATGTATAAATTATAGTTTGGAGTTTATGTAATAAGGATATCGCAATTTGTAAAGTATTACTCAAGCGAGACAAAGAGGCACAGAGAGGGAGAGAGCGTGGTGATGCGCAAGGCACTATCGCGTAATATCTGTCGCGCCGTTTGGGTCATCTAATCGGTCCTCGAATTATCGCGGCGAGTAAAGTGACGAAACGCACGGGGTGATAACAGCTTTCGGGTTATCCCGAAATCCAACGGTCTCTGATGTTTTTGAACATTCGCATTGTTTAGAGCAGTCAATTTGAAGAAAAAGAAATAATCTTCAATTCAACGTTTCGTTTTTTTGACGTTTGATTGTATAATTTAGACACTCAGAAACATGCGAAGTGTGTTAGATTCTTCGTGTTTTCTCCTACTCACTGACTCTTTGATCAGTTTGACTTTTCCTTTGCGAGAATCCGATACAATTGCCGCGTTTCTCTTCCACTAACTTTTTAATATTCAACTTTAAATACCTTTGCGAAACTAATCATTGAAGTAAACTTCTGCAGAAATCCACTTAAGAAAATGTTTTATTATTTACTTTTTTCGCTAATAATTTTCCATTGCACAGTTCATCGCACGCCATTACACGGAAGTTTCACACGTGGTTTGTCTCAGTGTTTATGTCTCTTAAAAGTGACCGAGTTAAGAACAGCTGTTGTAAAATTTTGTGAAGAAAATAGTATAATGTTCCGTAACTGAATCGGGATGTTATCAGTTTTTTTTATACGAAAATTGTGTGACCTAAATCGATAGTAAATCCGCGTGAAAGATTTACTCTCGGCAAATCGACAATAATATCCCTCGAGATCGCTATACAGTGCGCGATACGGCGCGACTCAGAGCGACGCACCGCCCCGATCCGTGCCGATCAAGGCGCGCTGCCTGGTCAAGGTGAGCGTCGTCGGCCGAGGACTCTCGTGATCGTGCTCTTTGTGACCGAGAAATACACGCCGACGATCGTGAGCGAGCGAACGCGCTCACCGTGCGAGCGGCGGCGGCTCCAGCCGCTGATGAATAACATCTGAAGAAAGTCGATGACAGAAACAACCGCGCTCGACCGATTGTCGCAATGAATGGCGCCGATTCTCCCTCATTCCAGTTTACTCCAGTTTACGTGACTTGAATTTTTGTTTATTGTTGAATCTATTTAATATTCCTATACTAAAGTTTCAGAGGTGAAACTTGATGTTAAGTAATTGAATTTGTCGAGAAAAAGCAGTTAGATCGACTTAAAAAATTCTGCTGCGTCACAGTAAATGGTTAATCTGATTCTTCGTGAATTTTTTTCCATTCGCAAACATGACCTATCCGAAAGGCGTAGTCGCCGCGTCGGTTCGACGCGACGCCGATTTCAGACACGGCGAGGGATATATTCTCTTTCTCTCTCACTCGTACGGTTATATTTGTGACGGGAAAATATAGACTTAGTGCGCATTGCTGGAAGGAGACGGATTGCCTATTTAGATATGCCACTTTGATAAAAATGCCGGTGAAAATTTAGTATGTGTCGGACTGCATGCGTCAAATCAACTTTATGCATCTTCAACATTTAGCACGTTTGGAACTTTCTGATATTAATGATTTGTTGACTTTCTTTTCTAATTTAGGATATTCAATTTGAATTTTATTCAAGATTTCGCAAATTTGTAAATTTCTTAATACGTCAGATCTCAGATTTGACATTTATTAACAACCTTTGCGGGCATTTATATT